TAGGGTACAGTCCGCCTCCGGCAGTTTAATGCAAGTGTGCTGTATACATTGTATGACTCGCATAAATTCCACATACGTTTAAAACAGTCAAAGGGTTAAATACTGCACGATGGTTCTCAACGTGGAAACTTACTTTGTTTTGTTCTAAAATAGATTTCGAATGTCAAATTGACTGTGAATATTTTTTGTCCTTTCGCTGATAATGCAACAATAATGACTGGGCAATAATGATTTACTACTTACAATAACCCATAATAACGTGCATTATATATTAAAAACAACTTTGACTAAACAAGTTACCTAAATTTATTCTCTCTACAACTACATTTTTTCCCACCACATTCTCAAAAAAAATAAAAATCTACCCCTTTTCATACACATTTGGTTGAACTAATGAGGGAAGGGGTTGAAGGAATAACTATATGCAACTATACATAATAAATTTAAAAACTGTATTAAAATATAAAATTTAAGCTGCTTCAGCATGCTTTGAAACAACATTTCTCGACTGTATCATGACGTAACAGATTTGATTGATAATTTGGTTAAATGAATGTTTAGATAAACATATTTAAACAGATCAACAAAAGAACTACTTCAGCCCTCCCAATCAGAACAGGCCAGTGTCTATATGACATTAAATCAGTATTAACTATGCCCCAGGTTACTCTAGCTTCTTAGGAGGTTGGGAATACACTTCCAGACTAATAATGATAAAGAAAAACCACACAACGACAAATCCTATTTCTTCACAAAAACATTTTGTCTCAACAGTGCTATTTTTTAGACCATTTTGGTCAGACAAATGGTCCATTAAAACTGCATAAAAATAAAATAAAAAGGACCGAACCATTTTGGAATGTTCAATAAATTCTACATTTTTTGTGGAACTTCTAGAATATGCAAGGAAGTGTGTACAGCTGACAGTATTTACCAAAAGAATCTTAATTCACAACCATCAATGTGATACTAGTTTATTCAAAGAATATTCTTTGAAAATACACAACAGCAACTCAAAATCTACCAAATAGTTGTACGTTTTTCTCTAAAGCAACTGACATTTAAACAATAATCATTTGAAGAAGTACAAAGGTAACATTGTTTTAAAACACCAAAGGGGACACAAGCAGTTCAGAATATTTAACTTTATCCACCAATTAAATACCAAACAATATTAATGTGAGAACATTTTCATACAACCAATTTTCAGTAGGTTTAATAGTTCATAACATAACCTTAAAACTTTACAAACTGAAGGACAACAGATACCAAAGAGTAACAACCAGTGTTCTTTACTTTACTGAAACGTTCCCATGCATCCAACTCTGGGAAACAGTTGGAAAGACTTCTCATATTTTAGTGTCAGTTCTCTCACCTCTGTTTTTCTTCCCTTTTAGTATAATTGTAAGAGGCTGAAGTCTTTATATAGATAATGTCAATAACCTTGTTATGTAACTTCACTCAACATATACTTAATCAATATTAAAACCATTTATGTAATACACTGTGTGATCAAAAAAACAATAATGGAGCAATGTAACCCTATCCTGCTTGTTAGAGCTCTCAACATTTAATGATCTATATTACCAACAGTTACATTATATTTGTTCAAAAAGTATTAAAAACAGTTACATTAACCCAATTACAATACTCAATAAGACCAAACTGTTATAAGTGCTGACCCTAGAAACGTTTTTGAATACAAATATATGTAAATTATAACTTATTAAATTCAGCTACAAAAAGAAAAACAACACTAAAATGTTTTGACAGAATGGAACAGTAAGTCATTGGTGTGTGGGTTCTAATCATTACAAGAAAAAAAAATGCATAATAACTGAAGACTAGTATCGATCAAGAGATATATGTATGCATTATTTAAGCAGGTGTAAATATTCTTCCAAAAAATTAAGACCCCCCCCCCCCATATCTTAAATCATGATTTCTAAAATTTTACCCTAGATTTTCCCTATGTCTGATTGGTTGTGAACTGCACCACAGCTTTAGGACAAAACCCAATACTTAATATTGTTTTTTCTTCAATATTTTTATCTTCCCTTAATGCAGTATTCTTCTCGGAGTTTCAAAATCTCAAAATTATTCCTGCAACTTTTGGAAAATTATTCGGAAGAATATTTCCTCCTTTATTTAATTCTAAAAAAGTCTAAGTGAACAACAGAAGCATTACTACAATCTCTATTGAACTACCACATAAGCTTGAAAATTCTGTATACCTAAGCCTTTCTTTCGTGTTTAACTATCAATGGGAATTGATATCCTATGTTTTTACTTCTTGACAAAATTTAATTGAAAATTAGTTTCAACCAGAAATAATAAATACACAAATGAAAATAAGCAAGAATATATTACAGTTGCTTCAGAATACACCCTCTCACCGTACTGTATATTTTACACACAGAACAAAAACAGGTCAGATTCACCAAGTTCAAATGAGCTGCCGAACTATGCAGACCCACAGTTGTGAAGGTTTCATTCTAAGTAGTGTCCACTAGTGTCCAGATGGAGAGTATGTCAGGTGTCAATGTTCTTTTTTTAAACAAGAGGGCAACTTGTCTCACTAAACTGTGTACTTGAATAGTTTACAGGGCAGTTTTTCAAATCTGTGGTATCAAGTATTGGATAACTGAAACGTTCAGGTAGTTCGTTCACCAATGTCAGTGCTTTTATCATTATTACAAAACTACCACAAGAGGGCAACTCCAATATGTTGAATAAAGGACATTAATGATCTCCAGGTGTTGAAGTCCAGTGGACTAACATTACAAGACCCTAGAACTGATAACTTTTAAGAACATGCCTTTCCCAGTAAGGGTCCACCAGAATGAGATCACTGACAGGTCTGTCCACATACCTTGAATAGTAACCATAAACTTGGATATCGGCAGTTCACCAATATCAGTTAGATTTTTCAGAGGATTATGAAAATTATTACTGGCCTCTGATTAATACCCAGGAGCTTATACACCAATAGGGTCACTGATGTTTATCAGGTATTCTAGTTGACAAAAATCACTGCCTGAACCATTACTGGTCATTTTTTCTTTTATACTTAAGAAATTACACTTCAGTTTAAGGTTCTTCAGATGTTTCAATCAGCAAAGATCATTAGAGAGCTATCACTGGCCTCTGATCAGTATTTAGAAACTTAGTAGCTAGAAGCTCCAGAGACTTGAGTTCACTGGTTACTCTTTCAGTATTCTAATTCTTGTTGCAATCAGCAAGTCAACGTCACAAGCTGCTATGTATTTGTTTTTAGGCAAACCTACTATAAAAAAGAAAAGAATCTTCTAAGCTGGACTTGGAGTTCAGGGATATAAAAGTACTAATCTCTGTATCAGTGGTTTATCTACTTCTGAGTGGAAATTCACGAGGCCAACGTTTTGGTGTAAATAACCATTCGTGTTCCACTAACTTTCAAACACCACTTCTTCAGATTCTACAAGCACAAAATTATATTCTTTAGATGCTGGATTTGTGCCCCAGAACTCATTTTGGTTTTTAAAATCCTTGTTCTGTGTTTTTTTTTACTGTTCTTCCAGTACTATTTTAGGATGATAGACAGAGCCCAATAACTGGTCTGCAGTTACAATAAAACCCTGACTAGTGTTAGATACCTAGTATGTATCAACTTCCACACCCTGACTGATGTCCTAGACCTGATTTATATTAGCTTGAAATTCTGGACTGATGTCAAGTGCAGGACTTGTATCAGATTCAATGTCCTGATTAACATCCAGTACTTTGTATGTATCAGATTCAATGTTTTGAGAGATGTCTAGAGCATGGTCTGTATCAGTTTCCATATCTTGACTGACATCTAGTACCTGGTCTGTATCTGATTTAATGTCCTGAATGATATCTAGTTCCTGGTCTGTATCAGATTCAATGTCCTGACTGATGTCTAGTTCCTGGTCTGAATCAGATTCAATGTCCTGAGTGATGTCTGGTGCATGATCTGTATCAGCTTCCACACCCTGACTGATATCTAGTTCCTGGTCTGTATCAGATTCAATGTCCTGAATGATGTCTAGTGCATGGTCTGTATCAGCTTCCACACCCTGACGGACATCTAGTAACTGGTCTGTACAAGATTTAGCATTCTGGCCAATGTCTAGTTCCTGGTCTGTATCAGATTCTATGTCCTGATTGATGCCCAGTGCACGGTCTTCATCAGATTCAGTATCCCGACTGATGTCTAGTTCCTGATTTGCATTAGCTTCCACACCCTGATTGACATTTAGTTCCTGGTCTGTCTCAGATTCAATGTCATGAGTGATGTCTAGTGCATGGTCTGCATTAGTTTTCATACCCTGATTGATATCTATTGCCTGCTCTGTATTAGCTTTACAGACCTGATTGGTGTTGCAAACTTGGTCATTATTAGCTTCAGACTCCTGAATGATGCCAAGTATTTGGTAAGCATTAGCTTTAAAGTCCTGATTAACATTTAGTGCCTGATCTGCATTACTTTCTGAAACCTGTGTGGTGTCATAAACGTCTATGGTATCAGGTTCAAATTCCTGACTAGTGCTGCATTTCTGGTTAGTATCAGGACTAGAGTTCATTACCTCGTATAACTTAGCTTCTAAATCCTGATAACTGTCAACTATTCCAACTGTTTTATCTTCAAGATTCTGATTTGAGTTAATGTCCAGAATAGAACTGACTTTCTTGTTTGTGTTATCTTCAAAGACTTGATGGGTGGTTGATAACTGCTCTGTATGTTCAGTAAAGTCCTCAGTTATATTCAGTATCTGGTTAACACCAAAGTTCTCACTGTTGTCCAAGGCCTTGTCTGTGTTAACTTCAAAGTTCTGACAGATGTTCAACAATTGGTCTGTATCACTTTCAAAATTAAGACTGGTGTCCATTACCCGAGCGGGTTGTGTTTTTGAGGTATTTAACAATTTATCCAAATTATTTTCAGGACCATGCCTGGTTTCTAAAATCTTTTCAACTTTAGGTTGAGAGTCTAGACTGGTGTCCAGAAGTTGATCCATGTTAGTTTTGGGATCCTGCCTGGTCTCCAATAGATCTTTGACATTAGATTCAGAATGCTGGCTAGTGTCCAACAACTGGTCTGAGATAACCTCATTGTTCTGACTGGTACCCAACAATTGATTCATGTTAGTTTCAGGATCTTGGCTACATAAACTTTTCTCTACTTTAGATTCATCAGAGTTGTGGCTGGTGTCCAGCAGTTCATCTGTGTTAGTTTCAGGATCTTGGCTACACAAAAGCTTCTCTACTTTAGGTTCATCAGAGTCATTGCTGGTGTCCAACAGTTCATCTGTGTTAGTTTCAAGGTCTTGGCTACACAAATGCTTCTCTACTTTAGATTCATCAGAGTCATGGCTGGTGTCCAACAGTTCATCTGTGTTAGTTTCAGGATCTTGGCTACACAAAAGCTTCTCTACTTTAGGTTCATCAGAGTCATTGCTGGTGTCCAACAGTTCAGCTGTGTTAGCTTGGCTACACAAATACTTCTCTACTTTAGATTCATCAGAGTCATGGCTGGTGTCCAGCAGTTCATCTGTGTTAGTTTCAGGATCTTGGCTACACAAATGCTTCTCTACTTTAGCTTCATCAGAGTTGTGGCAGGTGTTCAGTAGTTCATCTGTGTTAGGTTTACGATCTTGGCCAGGATTCAAGAGCTTGTTTACTAAAGGTCCAGAGTCTTGGCTGGTATCAAACAATTGGTTTACATTGATTTTAGTGTTTTGACCAGTGTTCAACAGTTTATCTGTGTTAGTTTCAGAATCCTGGCTAGTATCCACAAGCTTGTCTAGGCTGGGTTCAGAATCCTGACTGGTATACAAGAGCTCGTCTACATTTGACTGAAAGTCCTGACTGGTTTCCAAGAATTGATTTGTGTTAGCTTTAATACTGTGATTAGTATTTATCAATTCAACTACATTAGTTTCAGGATCCTGGCTGATGTGTGAAAGATTGTCTACATCAGGTTTAGAATCCTGGCTGGTGTCCAACAATTGCTCTCTGTTTGCTTCAATGCTCTGATTGGTGTCCAATAGTTCATCTGTGTTAGTTTCAGGATCCTTACTGGTTTCAAAGAACTTGTCTATGCTGCATTCAGAATCCTTGCTGGTTTCCAAGAACTTGTATATGTTGGATTCAGAATCCTGGCTGGTGTCCAATAATTGGTATGTGTTAGGTTCAGTATCCTTGCTGGTTTCCAAGAACTTTTCTATGCTGGATTCAGAATTCTGGCTGGTGTCCAATAATTGGTATGTGTTAGTTTCAATATTCTGACTGGTGTCCAATAACTGATTTGTGTTAGTTTCAGGATCCTTGCTGGTTTCCAAGAGCTTTTCTATGCTGGATTGAGAATTCTGGCTGGTGTCCAGTAGTTGATTTGTGTTAGTTTCAGGATCCTTGCTGGTTTCCAAGAACTTGTATATACTGGATTCAGAATCCTGACTGGTGTCCATTTGTTGGTCTACATTAGTTTCAAACCCTTCAGTAGTATCTAACAATGGGGATGTAATAGCTTGAAAGCCTTGACTGATGTACAACTGTTGGTCTAAATTAGACTCAGATGCTTGGCTAGTGTTGAATAACTGGTTTGTATTTAGATGAATATCACAATCTGTAGGTATCAACTCATCTGTGATAGTTTCAGAGCCCTCACTGGTGCTCGGTAACTGATCTGTATTAATATCAGAGACCTGACTAGTGACCCTCATGTGGAAACCCTGAGCGGTACTTAAAATTTGATCTGCGTTATACTCATTATCCTGACTCGTGTCCAAAAACTGAACTGTATCTAGCTGAGAACCCTGAATGGTGTCCAACACCTGGTCTGCATTTTGATGCAAAACCTGACTGCTGTCAATATGTTGAGGTGTTTTTAATTGAGAATTCAAAGAGCAAGCTGTGCTTTTTTGAGAGGACTGAACTGTAGTTTCTATAGAAGCCTCCAAAACTGTGGATCCTATCATGTTGGCAGTGCTTTCATTCTTTTGTTCTTGATTGCTAAGTAATGATGCATCATGATACATCTGACTTGTTGAAACTGTCTGGATATTAACTCTATGGGTAGAAAGCTGATCCCCAACCTGGGATTTTTGGGAAACCTTGACCAAACTTGGTTGCTCAGTCATGCCTGATAAAAGATGACCACTGGTCTTGACAACATTACGTTGCTGACCAAGTCCAACAATAGTGGAGTCTTTTGGTACTGGTAGTTCTGCATGACTGCCACCACTGGTAAAAAGTATAAAATTTAAAAAAATTAGCTAAACATACCCTGACAAAAATATTTAATATTATATGCTTTTTAATGTCTGAGAAGACAACAAGTATATCATCAGCACAGCTAAAATTCAAAACTCATTACACATTTTACTGAAATAACATGTTTTTTGGAGATATTACAAGCTCACTTGTTTCTGAAGTTTACATTCCTAGGCTTTCAAGCTCGAACTTTATAAAAAATCTCGAACAAAATATATCCAATTAAGAATATATTCTTAAATAAAGGCTAGAAATACATGCTATGCAGTTTACAACTAGAATATTTTGTATATTAGAACTTCATAAATTCATGCAAATTTTTAAATGCTGTTATGTGGATACTCATGAGCTGGTCACAAAAACTTTGCCACTGCTATGTAATACACTTCACAACAGTTGAAGGTACAGCGTGAGCCTATGGTCAAACCAATACGATATAGTGTGAAAAGTCTAAAGTAGCATTTTGTGACACCTATGATAAAGCTATGTTTTACTTACAGAGTGGCATTTATTGAGGAGAAAAACAGAAGTTTTTCGGATATTATCCAAGATGATCAATATAACCGTCACTTCGATTAAATCAGTCAAATGGTTTTATATTCCAAAAGCAAATATACTCATTCCTACAACCAACACCTCTTTTGATTCGTAGACACCCTGATCAATAACTGGTTTAATAATATTAATTTCAGATTTTGTACACACAATTTCAACGGAGACTGACCATTAATTATTATACTTATTTAATCAACAATTCAGAAACTGCCGTATTTTGACTTTAAGTACGAGTAACGTTACTGGTATAAGTAAACATTTAACTAATACTAAACCAATCAAAGAGGTACTTAAAGGCTCCAATTCACTCCTGAAGAAGTAATAATCTTGTTGTATGTATGTAATGGGTAAAACACAGCTTGGATATTCTAATAATTACATAAATTAAAGTGTGTTTAAAATTGCACAAGAATAACAACACTGAATGTTGTGTAAGAAAATTTCAATGAAATTAGAATTTTCAACCAGAATGGAACCTTATGTGCAAGTGAACAAAATGGCTAGGTAAGGAACCTCTAGGATTCAGGTATAGATATTTAATTAACTACTGACCAGATGTACAGCAGCCTCTTGGCAGTTTACACTACCACCTTTTTCGAACCAAATAACGAATTGACTGTCACGCAAAAGATTGGTCAGTTTTAATTTTGGTTTAACTTTGATTTACACAGTTTACAAAATCAAAAACTTAATATGAAGTAATTATTATGCTTTTTTTCACTCTTTCTTTCAAATTCATCTGAGCAAGAAACTCTTAATAAGGTAAAATGGTTTTTATGAAACTTGATATAAAAGTTTATGATGGTGCTCTAAAAGCACAAAAACATGTAATGTCTATTGTAACATTCTAATAAAAATGTTTTATCATGCATTGTCTCTTTTTGTTGAGAAACTCCTAAGGAGGATCCGTTGTAGACACATACTGTAAACATCGTGACACAAAAAAAAAAAGATGGGATTCTAGTGTTTCTGGAACTCATTCAGTACGCCTGTTCCACCTACTATTTCTGTGTTTCTAGCATCTACTGGTGTTACACAACATATCAATTGCTGGAACTCTTTCTTCCTATAGATATTAAACGATTAAAACTAAATCTCAACTTCATTATTGAGAAAATTTAAAAATTTATGACAGAACTAAACATCAAAAATATTAATATTTACCACATTATTAAGTTGCCAAAAAAACCTTGGCTAGATAGAACAGAACTTTTAGACCAACGTTTATTTTTCTGATCATCTTTGTACAGATTAAAGGTTAGATTTTGAAAGGTATAAAAATAAGTGTTTCTACCATTACTCTATAGTGACTTGTCAACAACAACATACATATGATTTTCAATTTTTAGAAGAAAAAAAAGAAGGAATGCCAGCTGACATCATTATTACAACACCAATTCAAAAAGGTTTATGAGCAATTACATGTAAAGTTTCTTAAAATGTCTTTTGTTTTCTGAGTAAAATAAATGTGGATAATTAGACTTGTTTAAAAAGTGCCTTTCATTTTGTTCAAATCATCCAAAGGTAATTTAAAATGAGGGGTCTCATTTATTGCAGATGTCCGACTTTGATGCTATAGATCTTAATAGTAAAAACTTGAGTTTAAATTAAAAGTTTTCAAATGCGTGCTGACTTCCATTTTCATCTCCAAAAGTGAGAATATGTTGATCTACATACCCTCAAATAACATGACCCCTGTCAACCTCAGTGCACTTTTGCAGACATCTTCACCATTTTTAAAACACACAATTACACATTCCGAACTTTCAATGTTTGCCTGATATAATCCTTCAAATTGACAAGTGCAAAAAGAAGTGGCAGTTATACCCTGCCAATAACAGCATCAGATGTTAACTGCAGAAAGTTCACATATAACAGCCCAGTGACTCATTTACGGAGGTATACGTACTTATGCTGGATCACCTAACGTTCTTCTCAACAGACAAATACTATCTGTTTGTATCATCACTTCATAGCATCAGTGGTGCCAATGTACTATAGACTGAGTGGTACCATACTACAAAAGAACAGATTTGAACTTCACATGCCACAGATTAGGTGAGCACTCAACATTTTGAAACATTATCCATTGCCAAAAAATCTTGGTTAGGTGGAACAGAACTTGAAAATTTTTAGACCACATCTTTGTATTGTTTAAAGGTTATGTTTAGAAAGGTGTAAAAAAAAAGAGTAATATCTAAATATTTAGTGACCAAATAACAGTTTTTCAATGTTTTTAAACATACAGGAGACTTTTAAATACCACCCTCCCAAATAAGAAGGGAACAATATTATTCTTTCGCTACATGTATTCATATAAACACTGAGATTGTATAACATAAAAACTCTAATTCTAAAGCTATAGCACAAATCCATTAAGAGTCAATAAAATATAAGCTTATTATGAATTTATTTTAACAGAGGAACAAGAACTTCAAAAAGATACACAAACGTATATATTCTTTTAACACTGAAATGTTCATTTAAACCAGTATCTTCAAAACTATGATCTCATTAGAACAAACCAGTGATAACTTTTACTAAAACATTCTATAGAGTAAATTGTTTTCCTTAAGCAGTACACATTTGTAGCTAGAACATTATTACCTTAAGAACACGTTTTCTTTAACTCTCGCCGTGGTAAGTAACGAGTGTTTCTTGTTAATTAAAGCAATACTATCCGTGAACTGCCCACCACGGGTATCTAAACCCAGTTTTTAGCAACATAAGTCTGCAGGCTCACTGCTGAGCCACAGGAGAGAGAGAGGGGGATAAATGTGTCATTTACTTGTTAAATTAAATTGAAGACCTTAAATGTCATTCAACTATTACACATTTTTCCCCCGTAAATATTTTATGTTGTTAATACAGGGGGCGCTTATGAAAAATAAACGAGAAAAAGTTATATTTAGAAGGTTTGTACTAACTTATAAAATACAATACTTGAATCCACCACAATGTCTTTCACAATGATCTAGCAACTCTATAGTACGTTAAAAATTAGATGTTATGAAATGACACTTCTGAAAGGGAAGTGAAGCAAAGAACAGTTGACAATAGAGGATACTATAACTTCACTATAAAGGACTTAAATTGAAGACAGAAAAAAAATCATCCTACATGCTAACAATATTTTATGGCTTTATGAAGAAAAAACATAAATTATGTAGAAAAAACAAATAGCTTTTAAAATTTCACCCATTTTCACTCGTAAATAATGTCAAGTAAATAAAACATAGAGGTTTGAAACATCTAAATTGTAAAGTGAAAAAAAACACATTTACCCAAAGTAACCCAGCAACTTTAATTCTTTAGAAGTTTTATAAGTAAACAAATGAAGTTTCATAAAAACTATGATACTTAAATTTCAATGAAGCCTACTTAAAAAAAAAAAAGTTGCACAAATGCTTTTTAAACTGTATATAAAAACCATGATTAGTGATGTACACGTTACAACTAAACACAATTAGTTTTAATATTTACAGAAACTGTAAAGTTGGGCTCCGAAACTTAATTCCTCAAACATAAAAAGATGACGTATTGTAGATAGTCCCAGTTTAATTTTAATATCATACACATTATTGAAAGACATTTTTTATACACTATAAAAAAATTTATGACTATTCTTGGTTCCTTGTAAATTTAACCAAAAATTTTCATAAAATTCTAGTTTGTTGATATCAGTATTTCCTACTGTTTTTTTTTTATAATTATTATAAAACATAATGTATACAACTTTACGAGAACAGCATACAAGTCATGCTCACGAATTTAATGTCAACAAAATGTTATATGAAACATTAAGAAACAACACAAAAGACACTCACTTCCATAACTAATAGTAACATTCTATGATATCAAAATATGGATTTGTTTTCAAATGACTATGAAAATATGTTGTTGTTTTTTTTTTACGTTTCCAAATATTTGATTAAAATTGTAATATCTCATACGTGGGTATTTCTGAGTGTTGCAGTTATTTTTAAATCTCAGACTGTCGTATCTATTAAAAATAAATTTCAACAGGTCATTGGTAGAAAAGCAATTCCTTTATTGTTTGAATGTGGAAATGTTGTCGTGTAAAAGGTGAGGTTAACAAGGCGTGATCTACGACTGAATCCCACACAGCAGTATCTCTGTGTACACCTACTTTGGGTGGCTGGGACAGAGGTGGATAGCAAATTGCTCCTCAGAGTCAAAACCTTTATGACAAGTTGCACAGATTAATTGGATGAGTTCTTTGTTTGCGACGTCTTGCGACTCTTGTTCTCCCTCATGTTTCATCTCGTGGTTGGAGCTATGTGATTCAGAAGAGACTGGCTGTTCCACATTCATTTCAACTGAGGTTCCTGTACCTGATAAAGGTAACACTGAACTATTAAAAGGTAAAACTGATATAAAGACACAGAGATGTCAATTCAAGTACAAATTAATGAAAACCAGCTTGACCTTAGTCTTTTGCTTCTCCTACAGATATAGCCAGTATTAAAACTGTATATTTTAACAATTCATTACTAAAACTAGACTCAACTTTTTATGTTGGACCCATTAAAATATAATCTATGTTTCCGAAATACATTCATCCAAGTTTTTATACTACAAAACAAGTACACAAACAAGCTTCCAAAACAAGGATTCTTCATTTCCCACAGGCTAGTAAAAATTTAATATTTAACTTTTTCAAGGATATACAAGTATGTTGCCCAGTAGAACACATTACCAAACTATGAGAGTGCCTACATTATCCTTTAATGGCATAAACAATAATATATAGTTAGGATGACACTCAATGTTAAAACTAAGTTCTTCACGTGAATTTCATTATTTTACTGATGTGTTTGATGACATTTTGGAAATTACATTAACATGCAACAAACAAAGGAATCTGTTACATACAAGTTCTAGTAAATGTATACGGATACAGGTTAGTAATCATCAATTATACACATCTACATTACATTAGCTGCGTGATCAACACTTAATCTTTAAATAATTTAAAAATATTATTTGCTTACAAAGTTTGGTTACATTTCTGTATTACAGCACAAGCTTTACATATTATTATACACTTTTTTACTTTCACTCAGTTCTTATTAATAACGACTATAATATAGTCTTCTCCCATTAGGACTAACCTAACCCATTACTAGGACTAGTTTGCCAGTTTTTCTGAATAACGAGCATTAATATATAATTAATAATATATGGTGCTAAACTAAATAAATAATTAGTGTTAACCCATTCAATGAGCAGATGAAAGAGCTCATGTCAAGAGTTTTAAGTTACTTTCAAAATATAATTAAACTAGTTTATTATCAATTTATAAAAATAAACTTGGCATCAAAACATAGTTAATAAATCAGATCTTAATATTATACAAGTTTTAATTTCTAAAAAGACATTTAAATAAATTCTCAATCTTCTCTCATCTGTATAATATGAAATTTGTTTGCTAAGACTTTCCCATTTTCTGTATCACCTCTCAATGATGTCCTACGTTTTAACATAAATTATTCATTATAGGACATATATTACACAGGCATAGACTAATTTATATAGCATTCAACATTCTTTGTTTACTGAGGTATAAACCAGAAAGTCACACCCTCTCTTTCACAAATTGCCAATAATTTTCTCCGGCAGTTTTAATTTACCGAATGACGTATACCGCTAACTTGTTCTCGTTTGAGATTTGTTATTTCGCCTACAGATTCAAATATGTTATTGACAAGTTCAGATCATGTAACTAAGGGAATTATTTGAAGGCATTAGTTAGAAAAACCAGTTAATTATAATAGTGATATGACACTGTTTGCTTCGTGTTTTGTATTCTTAATAACATATTTGAAATAGATAAAAATTACGGGATGTACAATTATCATCATTACAAAAGAATAGGCTTGAGTTTCATCCACACGCTGATAGGAAAAAAAAAAAAAGAAAAAGAAAAGCCAAACATAAGTACTAAATTTCTGTTTTTTATGTAGATTTGTTTTATTTACTGTTATAAAAGTAAAAAATAAAAAAATTGGAAACTCGTTAGGTCAGATAATGAAAAAATAATAAAATTTCCCTATGAAGTATGCTTTTAAGTAGTTCATGCATCAAACAATACTGATACTTGGGTTAAGCGTTTGCCATGTGACTTGCGGCTTGTGTAGTGGGATTATTAGTTGGACACAGTTCAAAGATCAATAAAACAATGAAATTAAAAACAAACCAGATATAAACTGTTACAAGTCTTAAGCTATTTCTGATAAAAAAAGGTTGGCCAAATTGACTGAATCTATAGTGTTATGGTAGAGAAAATATCAGTTAAAATATAAAGTTTTACAAAAAAACTTGTGATTGTTTGTTTGTAATTAAACACAAAGCTACACAATGGGCTATCTGTGCTTTGCCCACCACGGGTATCGAAACCCGGATTCTAGCATTGTAAGAACGCAGACATACCGCTGTGCCACTGTGTGTGTGTGTGTGGGGGGGGACTTTTAATATTCATTTAGGTTTTAAAGGTTAAGCAAATGAAACATGAAAAAACTGTAAGATGAAATTATTTTTTAAATTTTAACACAAAAATCACTTTGCACTCAGACTAGTTAGAGTTTGAGTCACACTTTGACTCCATCTATTCAAAGACAAATCTTTAGTAAAAACACAACTAAAAAACTTAATTTTTTATGTGTACAAAAGACTTAAAATATTTAATAAAAGCTTAAATTTTGTGAAGATACACTTACTACATTAAAAGTTATAATATACATATATACTTTCATGGTTACAAGGTCAAAGTGACTAGCCCCTATAAAAGAGTTAAATAATCCCCACCCTAATTCAAATGTGTTACAACAAATAAATAAAATTGATAAAAATTACATTTCAGCTTAATCCAGTTTAAAGTCATTATAGTTTTGATACTACTAACTTTTACATTTGAAATTTATTTAGGTTTTATAGATTACATAAATGAAATTTGAGATGAAGAAAAGTATTTTAATCTTAACATGAAGATCACTGTGCACTTGGACTAGTAAAAAAAAAGTCAATATATGCATGGACAAGTCTTTTTTTTAATTATTAAAAATACTTCAATAAAAAATCTGATTTTTTGTATGTTTACCGAAATTCTGCCAAATTTGGTGAAGATATACTTACTATACTTTTGTTTTCAGTAAAACTTTATAAATCTATACAAGGTAGGTGAATTTGACTGACCTCATAAACAACACACACAAAAAAGAAATAAATCTAAATTTCCCTTTTTTTCTTTCTAGAATGACTCAAATTGTAACATGAAACAACATTTGTTTATCCTAAGTAGCTTTAACTCTGGGACCAACCTCGTAACCGTGCTTGTTATAGTTTTCATGCTATATCTTTTAAATTAGTAAGCGTATGTTAAAGAAATTTGGCAGATTATCAGTTAACATTACAATACTTTCATACACAAAATATCAATTTTTTTTTATTAATTCTTAAGATTTGTTAAGCAATAATTTTCTCATGCCTATTTTTTCTTTTTACATGTTACTGATCCAACATGCAAATTAATTTTCATTTTAAGATTAAAAATACTTTTATGCATCAGAAAAATTTCAAATTACACATACAAAATCTTTATAATGTCCAGATAGTTATTAAACATTTCTTAAGAAAAAAAACTTTATATTTTATCTGTTATTTTCACTGACAAATCTCTGTATGGGTTCAGTAGATTTGACCAATTTTATAACCACCATACAAAATTAGGAAATAAATATAAATTATGCCTCTTTCTTTTTAAAATGACAACAAATTATAACACGAAAACAGAAATGTTTAGACTAAATAGCTTAAATCTCATAACATTATACATTTATTATTTTTATTATGTTGACTTTTCATCCGTGCCTGGCTAACAATACAGAAGTTACAATGATGCAGCACACGTACTTTCATGTTACTGCATCCAATAAGATGAAACTGACCTTAAGTCTTCACAAAATGACCTGTCTTGGTTGTGTTTTAGAAGACTAGTATTTTGTAAAATACAGTCAGATTTCAATTATATATGTATACAGATTATTACTATTTAGAAATAAGCTCTTAAA